ACAGCTTACGATTTGAGTATTTTTGATTAGAAATTAACTTAGATTCATCACTTAACTAATAGCCAAGCTAACGCTTTTGCTTAAGTCAGCTAGCAGTAACTATTTACAGGTAAAGTAAGCCATTACAGTACTCACAGTACTAAACTCTCCCCCACATTTTGCAGATTCAAAATGAGACTCGCCGATCCGCGGCGCTTCGACGTCAAAAGAGTACTGGGAATTTCGATTTCTAACACTTTTTCCTCATTTTTTTGCATGATTAGCAACATTTCGGGATCATTTTTTTCTCAGGCTCACACCAGTTTTTGATTGCTTGCTTTTAAAGTGTTGTTGATTTGATGATGTTCATTGAAATATTGATTTCTTTTCTTTGCAACTTTTATCAAATATCAACCGGTTATCAACAATCAAATCTCAACAACACTTTTCTTTTATTAGGTTGATGCATAAGTCTTTTCGTTCCTTTTCGTCTGCCGTTTCAAGCCAACAAATGCACGAATTAAACTACGGTTGATTTCATTACAAAAAACGAATTATTTTTCTGCAAAATAACATTAAAACGGGTTTAAAAATATTGAATGCCTGGATTTTCTTGAGAGTATTAAGTCGTGGTAGTCAAAAGGGCTAACTCGATGATGCGGTTTAGGCTCAGGCTCAGGCTCAGGCTCAGGCTCAGGCTCAGCCTAAGCCTCAGCCTAAGCCTCAGCCTAAGCCTGAGCCTGAGCCTGAGCGGTTTAGACACCTTAACTAAAGAAAACCTATCTTCGTGTCAATAGATAAAAGATAGAGAAAAAAAACGTTTGATATTTCGCCAAAATTTCAGAGAAATTCATTGAGCCAATTTTTCCGTAGAGTTTTTTATAGATTTTTACGAAAAAGGCGTTTTTCACTCTCGAATTTGCTTCAAAGTGAACCGAAATTCATTTAAAAAGATGCAAATTGAACAAAAAAAACACTTTTTTTATAGAGCAAACTATAGATTAATTCGTGAATTTGTTACTTTTTAACAGAAGTACGAAAAAAATGAAAAAGACTTATGCATCAACCTAATACTAACAACAATTTCGATCATTTGACTCACCAACTAAACAAACTGTGACTTTATAGCTTTTAGGAAATGATTTACAGCTAAATGATTGATAAAAGTACATTACTTTACGAAATGTTTCCTTTGCCAGGTGTCGTCGTGTCCTTCTGAAGGGATATCCCCATGCACGGAGAGGGGATCAATCTCTGCGCCAGGACAGCTGGTCCCTGCAACACCAAGAAGTCGAACACGCAGTCTGGCGGAAAGTCTCAAGGTGAGTGGCAAAGGAAATGGGATATTCACAGTCGCACAGATACTGTAAACAAAATGTAATTAGAACAATTAGAACATGAAAAAAGGGAGTCTTTTCATTGTGAAAAGCTATCAGATACAAAGCTCGAAGTCTCTTGGGACTTTTCTTTGGACTTCTCTTGGGACTTTTCTTTGGACAAAGGGTTAGAATGAACTCTACAATGGGTTCTACGATCCTGAAAGCCCCGGGGACAAATTTTTGATATTAAATCTTATTTGGGGATCATTTACAGAATAAAAGAAAAATCACTGACTGGCGAGGTGTTCTTTATCTTATTTTTGGTTAGTTTTGGCTTAACGAGATTCAGATTTTGTTGCGGGAGTGTTTGGGGTGTGAGTCGGGAATTGGTGGTGGGGGTTTGAGTGTGGTGGCGCTCGGGGCACTCAGTCGTTGGGGAACTTTGGGGAAACTCAGTCGCTGATCACAACAATACCACTATTGAATACTGTAGATGAGTAGAGGAAGTCATTATTACTTGCAAACTTTTACCAAATGAGTCGGGAATTGGTGGTGGGGGTTTGGGTGAGAGTTCTAAGCTCAGACTAAGGGGATCAATCTCTGCGATAGGAAAGCTGGCTCTTTGGTGAGAGTTCTAAGCTCAGACTAAGGGGATCAATCTCTGCGACAGGACGGCTGGACCTCGGGTGAGAGTTCTAAGCTCAGACTAAGGGGATCAATCTCTGCGACAGGACGGCTGGACCTCGGGTGAGAGTTCTAAGCTCAGACTAAGGGGATCAATCTCTGCGACAGGACGGCTGGACCTCGGGTGAGAGTTCTAAGCTCAGACTAAGGGGATCAATCTCTGCGACAGGACGGCTGGCTCTTGGGTGAGTGTTCTAAGCTCAGGCTAAGGGGATCAATCTCTGCGACAGGACAGCTGGCTCTTTGGTGAGAGTTCTAAGCTCAGACTACCGTAGCCGTTGTTATGCAGTTGCTAGAGTAAACATAAAAAGTAGAGGGTCGTCTAGCAACAAGATCGAGATGATAAACATTGCCTATTGGCTAATCGGGTTACGGTAGGTGAGTCACAAGTGTTTAGAAAGTCCACAAGTCGACTCTTATCGGAATTCAACTTTACAAGACTTTACAATGGCTTAAGCCCATGACTAAGCCATAAATGCATGAACTCTAGACGACTGTCAATCAAATAATTTCCATTTCCAGGGGGACGACACGAAGGAACACGTGCGGATGAGTCTATTGCCGAAAATGAGCACCTAAATATCCTTTTCAAATCAAAAAAAATGAACATATCCCATTCAAATAACATTTTTTTTTAATATTTACATAGATTCTTGTATCTCCAAAAATACGTGTATCCTTTTATCCGCTTTTCCTCGACTTTTGATCTATTGAAAAGATTTGAAAAGATTTGAAAATCTTTAATTTCTTTAATTTCTTGTTATTTTGCCCTTTTGTGATTATTCTTTTCCCCCATTTGCGAATATGATTTTATGAAAATAAATGTCGTAGTCGTTTACGAAATTCAGCCGCTAATGAATCATTCGTTAGCGGCTAATCGTTAATGAATGAAATTTTTCGCTAGACGCTAACGAATGATTCGTAATCGGCTAGTCGTTAATGAATCATTCAGAAACGGCTAGCCGTTAATGAATCATTCGTAATCAACTAGTCGTTAATGAATCATTTGTTAACGGCTAGCTGTTAACGAATGAAATTTTTCGCTAGACGCTAACAAAAGATTCGAAAGCTCTATACGAAATGGATTCTTTCATATTGGTTTTAAATGCCGGCGTCGAAGTGCATTAACTAGAAGCCGGCGTCGAAGCGCCGCCGCCCGTCGTCGAGGCCGGTGTTTTCATCGAACTCGATGTCATGCTCTCGTTAACGGCCATTAGCCTTACCGTTAACGTTAACATTTTAACGGCCTTAACGGCTAACGAATCATTCGTTAACGGTTGAATTTCGTAAACGGCTATGACATACAGAAACTGGATAAATTTGAAGATTTTGAGGGAAAGAATTCAAAAATGATATGCGGATTTGCGGCCGTGTAAACACTCGTTGTCTGGCAGAGTTGTTTTCAGCCATTTTCTAGAGCCTTTTTTAGCTTCTTACCGTTTATAGAAAACAAAAAAGCACAACAAAAAAAGGGGTAACAAAAAAGGGAAGAGGTTTGAGAGTGAGGGGAGTCGAACCCCAGATAACCTGCGCGAAGGGCGAGCATGCTAACCACTACACCATCCGGTCACTGATGGCGGCAAAGTAATTCGGTGTCATAGCGAGGCGGTGTCGTTTTTCCGAAACTTCATAAGGATTTTTCTCGACTGGATGCTTTGGAGTAAATAAAATAAAATAAAATAAATCTCTTTGAATTTTAAGGCGGCATTTCTGCGCTAAGTCCAATAAATCGGAGAAATCCAATATCCCAAATCCGAGCAATTCTCTTGTTAAATTTTGTTATATTTTTACTATCAAGCTGTTATTGTTACAGCTGTTACTTGAAAGCAGTTAAAGTATTGGGTTGGGGACTATGACTCGGCGCCGAAAATGAGAAAAATGTCTAAAACTTCAATTCGACTTCGTGAAATAATATGCGTTTGATATCAGTAGAAGGGTAACTAATTCTCTACAAAATAATATTTAAAAGAGCACTCAAACAGCGCCTCAACTCAACAGAAGACCATTTTTTCACAAAATCGATAAACTGTCATCTAGAGTAAACGGTTGGAGGGATCTTCCTGAAAATTTGGTAACTTATGTAATTGAGTGTGCTCTATCTTTTTTATATAAACACCAAAGAAGGTTTATGTGAAAGAAACTGTTCAAATGATGAGTCGGACTTTTTGTCATTCGAGAACTTCAGTGTTGTGTTGTGAGAACTCGAGAACTTCAGTGTTGTGTTGTGAAATGGTTGCACGATGCCGAGGCTCAGCGTTTTTTCAGAGCAAACAAAGATACAAAAGCCTTGATCGAAAAAAGGGGAACAACTAGTTGCAACTAGTTTACTATTGGGTTGGGGAGAATGAGTCGGCGCCGAAAATCAAAAAAATGTCTGAAACTTCAATTCGACTTCGTGAAATAATATGCGTTTGATATGAGTAGAATGGTTAACTAATTCTCTACAAAATCACATTTAAAAGAAAATTCAAACAGCGCCTCCGCTCAAGAAAAAGCCATTTTTTCACAAAAACTACAAACTATGATCTAGAAAAAACCATTGGTGGGATCTTCCTGAAAATTTGGTAACTTAAGTAATTGAGTGTGCTCTATCTTTTTTATATAAACACCAAAGGAGGTTTATGTGGAAGAAACTGTTCAAATGATGAGTCGGACTCTTTGCCATTTTAACCAGCTGCGTTTGGAAGTTCATAAACTCCACGAAAGAAAAGCTTTGTGGAATCTCTCAAAAGTGATTTTGTAGAGAAATAGTGGATCCTTTTGATGAAACCAAACGTATGTTTAAAGAAGGCTTTATGTGTGCAAAAAGTCCCTTTAAAGTTTGGCGCCGACTCATTCTCCCCCAACCCAATATTTTTACTATAAAGCTTTTACTGTTACAGCTGTTACTTGAAAGCAGTTAAAGTAATTATTTTAACTTTGTAGAGTTTTGTAGAGTTTTTTTTCGAAGCTTTTCGATAATTTCGACTTCATAATTCATTCAATCAACAAAATCAACAAAATTCAATACTTTTTTCAATTCTTCATTGTTTGAGTGCCCATTCGGTGTCCTTTACTCGGCGTGACGGTGACTGTTGAAGATTTCCCTAGAACTGGATTCAAAAATCAAATCTCTAGATGAATTCACTTCTCTCTAGCATCATTTTGTACGTTTTGTAGAGTTTTTTCGAAGCTTTTCGATAATTTCGACTTGAAGCAATCAGCGTGATCGAGGAGCAGATGTTGTGAGAAGAGAAAATGATTGTAGCTATGGCCCCTGGAATGAGGGTACATGCATTTTGAGCTCTCTCAAGAGTACTCAGTAAGTAAGTAAGCAAGAGTAAGTAAGTAAGAGTAAGTAAGAGTAAGTACTGCAAGTTTCTCTTTCTATCGTACTTTATTTTCATTCAATCTATCCACTTTCTATCGTAACGTGTAAGTAAGTACAAAGTTCAAGTAAGTACAAACAGTACAAACAGTACAAACATTATCAACTTGTTCCCGTAATATCTTGACCATATTATACGCCCATTCTTCTAATTCGTCCCCTAAAGCGTTTCCCCTTTCTATTCCTTTTCTTTCTATCGTAATCTTGTCTTTATTTTCATTGAATCTATCAACTTTTTCTATCTTTTGATATCCTTTACCTCAAAAAAATTAGACAAAAAGTGAATAGATTCGATAAAATGGAGACAAGAGAAAGATTAATATTTCTCTTAGGTAGTAAGAGAAAGATCAATCTTTCTCTTAGGTAGTAAGCGAAAGATTGATTTCCAAAGGTAGAAAGAGAAAGAAGAATTACGATATTTGATCAGCTTGACTAGGGATTACAATAGTTGCAAAATAGACACATTTTAGAAAACTGAAGACTACGATAGCTTAGCCTTAGGTCGCGATGATTGTCTACTTACACGCTTGCGTAAAAGCGACCGCTCGATTCACATACAAAATGACGAGGACGGTGAATGGAGTGAAGAGAAGAATCGAAAAAACAAAAACCTGAAAGAAAATCGAATTTTCTTATCTTGTCAACCAACCTGTGCTGACATTGAATACAAGAGATTCAGCGCTAGCTCTTGGATCTTTTTATGCATATTCATATGTCTCCGAATTGAAAGATATGAGTGAAGAACCAAGAAGATCATCACAGCAAATGCCCCAAAGGCACCAATGCTGAAAGTAACGAGATGGAGAGCTTAGGCTCAGGCTTAGGCTTAGGCTTAGGCTTAGGCTTAGGCTTAGACTTAGGCTTAGGCTTAGGCTTAGACTTAGGCTTAGGCTTAGGCTCTGGCTTAGGCTCTGGCTTAGGCTCTGGCTTAGGCTTAGGCTTAGGTTTAGGCTCTGGCTCTGGCCCTAACTTAGGCTTAGGCTCAAGCTCAGGCTTAGGCTTAGGCTTAGGCTGAGGCTGAGGCTTAGGCTTAGGTAGAGATTGTCGTCTGGTTTAATTGTTTAATTGAAGCTTACCTGACAACGATTGACATATAAGTGACGTATGAGCGAAAAACGGCACAATTGAAATCAGATGAGAGAAAATATGCGGAAAGCTCAGGATTGAGGAACTCGATTTCCGACTAGAATTGGATGACAGTTAGCCACTTTCTTGGACTAGTTCTGAGGTTCCGAATCGGCTATTTCCAAGGTTTTGAATCGCAAAAGAATACGACTTGTTTGATTTTGAACTTTGATTTGCGCAAAACACAGGATTCCCACAGAAATTCACAGAATTTTGCTATAGTTGAGCAGTCGTTTTCTGGGTTGGAGCTGAGATTCGAGCTCGCTAACGAGCTTTCGAGCTCTACCAACGCGCTACACCGACACAGAACCCGTTGCCGTTAGAGTAGGGCCTTATGCCTTATTCTATTCTATTGTAGATCAAGATTGAATCTGTTTTCATTCATAAACTGTTGAAGGTAATGACAATGACTGAGATAGTTGTTTGGATTTGAACTTTATTTTGCATAGGATTTCGAATTCCCGTTTTTGGCTTAGGCTCAGGCTCAGGCTCAGGCTCTGAGACTGAGCCTGAGCCTGAGTCATAAGCTTCGATAGTGTCATAAATCTCGAATCTAACGATCATTTTTCTTTATTCTTTATTCCAGAAATCGTGAAAATCAAAAAATTACCTAAAATTTTGCAAAAAAAAACTATTGCTCTTTCGCAAAAACGGATTTCATTTTAGTGTTCCGTAATTGATTAGCATTTTGTCTCAATTTTCAGGAGAAGATCTCACCGCCAGGTCTGGTAAACCCTTGTAAAACCAAGCTCAAAACCAGTCCAATCTGTGCACAAATTGGCGATTGACTAGTAACCACAACAACTCACCATATTCACCGATGTCAACCCAGCTTCAATTATCCCCAATGCAATCGCTGTGCAAACGTAAGCGCTAATATTTAACACATAACGTTTCCATTTATTGAGATGAAGACGAGATTTGTCTCTTACTGAAACCTAAAATGATTTGATTTCAAAAATTATTGAAGAAGAGTTGTTGCCAGATTCGGGATTTAAGAACTTATGGCTGGATGGTAAAGCCAAGCAAGACTGACTGGAAACTTGCTTTTAAGCAGCTCTGATTGTCATATGATATATAGAGTACGCACAAACTAGGATACCCTAATCCTAAGATACCCCAATCCTAGGATACCCCATCCTAGAATACCCCATCCTAGAATACCCCATCCTAGGATACCCCTGTCTATGTCTAACAATAAAAAGTTTCAGAAATCGATCCCCATTCATCTATTTTTTGCAAAATGACACCTGATGCCTATAAACAAGCGCATGGAAATACCCAAACACATTGCCAGCACAGAGAAAGTCGAAACAGAACTGAAATCTCTGATTGTAGATAGCTACAGATTGCATCTAGCTCACCTTTGTGATAGCTAAAGAAATGATTGGATCAGCTTGGAAAATGTCGGTGATTTTTCGAGTAATGTAGATGAATGGCCTTTGCCGGAGGCACATCAGCAGTCCATTTTTCGTCTCAGCCGCCACAATTGGAGCCAACCACGCACAAAAGATCACAGTCAATAGGGAACAAAGCTTGAAAAATGTTTTTGATAAATTCTTTGGTTGTAGAAACTTTTTATTTTATGATTGAAAAACAACTTTAGTACTTGAATGATTTCTAGAGTCTGGAGACAGACAGGCAGACAGACAGGCAGACAGACAGGCAGACAGACAGGCAGGCAGACAGACAGGCAGACAGACAGGCAGACAGACAGGCAGGCAGACAGACAGGCAGACAGACAGGCAGACAGACAGGCAGACAGACAGGCAGACAGACAGACAGGCAGACAGACAGGCAGACAGACAGGCAGACAGACAGGCAGACAGACAGGCAGACAGACAGGCAGACAGACAGGCAGACAGACAGGCAGACAGACAGGCAGACAGACAGGCAGGCAGACAGACAGGCAGACAGACAGGCAGACAGACAGGCAGACAGACAGGCAGACAGACAGGCAGACAGACAGGCAGACAGACAGGCAGACAGACAGGCAGACAGACAGGCAGACAGACAGACAGGCAGACAGACAGACAGACAGACAGGCAGACAGGCGGACAGACAGACGGACAGACAGACGGACAGACAGACAAATGACTCCTAGAGATTCATTTAAGACTCTCTGTCTTAAATGAAACTCTAGAAATCATTTAAGACTAGAGACACGTATCCAGGAAAGTCTGTAAATCAGTTTTCAACAAAATCAACAGCATAACTAGGGAATATTGTTAACTTATCGTGGCTTTTGACTCGGGAAATAGTCTATCTGATGCAGTTTTTCACGCTGATTCCGAATCTGCAATCAGTTTTTGCCAAATGCTTCTCTAACGCGAGATTTTTCGCATACAAGCTTTTGAGGTCTCTTTATGAGGGCGACGCACTGTATTCAGCCAACGGCCTCGGCGGTGTAGTGGTTAGTGCGCGTCTGCTGGGTTTTCGGCCTTTTGGACCCCGAGGGTTCGAGCCCTTGCAATGAAAATGTTTTGATTTGATTTGATTTTCATTTTTTAACAATATTCCCTAGTAAGTGGAGATAGAAAAAAGGTAATGCGAAATTTGGAAAACCCTGAAATTTTAAGCCAATTTTACTGATAAACAAATGAATTCGTGAATCTAACAAAGCTAAAGATCTAAAGAAAAAGACAGGTTACGGTATGGGGCATGCTTTAAAAAGCGGCAAGAATTGTGCCCTAGCTGAGGTGCGTTTACGTGAGTCAAAGTACAACAAGTACAAAGTACAAAGCACAAAGTACAGCCGAACCTCAATCCCTAACAGAAATCTCGCGTAATATCTCGATTTCACTGGCGTCGCTCCAACAATAATAAAAACGGTGAAAAGAGTGACGATGATCGAAATGATACAAATGACATTCAGGATGATATCTGTGATGATCAAGAAGTCAGGAATTGTGAAAACCATTGGAGAAATAACGATTCTTCAAACAATTCTTCAAACGATTCTTGAAACGATTCTTCAAACAATACTTCAAACAATTCTTCAAACAATTCTTCAAACGATTCTTCAAACGATTCTTCAAACGATTCTTCAAACGTAAACTTTCAGTGACAAGATCACGCGAAAAAGACAGGTGAAAATTACAGAAATTCTCACATAATAATATTGAAGAAAAATGATTTAGAAAGTACAATGTTCTGAAAGCTTTTCATAACTAAGCATACCTTTTTTGAGGTACATTACAAGTGTTCTGGGTGATCTGGAGCGCATTCAATGCTTTGGCAACGAAAGAACTTCAAATTTCTAGAATTTTTGATCAATCTGGGACGCACAGCAGGGCTTAGGGCTCAAAATTTTGGGAGTATTGCAAGATTTCGGTTTTCACTTTTGCAATAGGCAATCTGGAACGCATATTGTAATTAGGCTTTATTTTAGCCCGATAGCTGAAATGTTTAACTTTTTGGATTTAATTAGCATTACATTTGACTCTCTAGTATTAGGTTGATGCAAAAGTCTTTTTCATTTTTTTCGTACTTCTGTTAAAAAGTAACAAATTCACCAATTAATCTATAGTTTTCTCTATAAAAAAAGTGTTTTTTTGTTCAATTTGCATCTTTTTAAATGAATTTCGGTTCACTTTGAAGCAAATTCGAGAGTGAAAAACGCCTTTTTCGTAAAAATCGATAAAAAACTCTACGGAAAAATTGGCTGAATGAATTTCTCTGAAATTTTGGCGAAATATCAAACGTTTTTTTTTCTCTATCTTTTATCTATTGACACGAAGATAGGTTTTCTTTAGCTAAGGTGTCTAAACCGCTCAGGCTCAGGCTCAGGCTTAGGCTGAGGCTTAGCCTGAGCCTGAGCCTGAGCCTGAGCCTGAGCCTAAACCGCATCATCGAGTTAGCCCTTTTTGACTACCCGACTTCATACTCTCAAGAAAATTCACTGATCAGCGACTGAGTTTTGTCAAAGTTCCCCAACGACTGAGTGCCCCGAGCGCCACCACACTCAAACCCCCACCACCAATTCCCGACTCACACCCCAAACACTCCCGCAACAAAATCTGAATCTCGTTAAGCCAAAACTAACCAAAAATAAGATAAAGAACACCTCGCCAGTCAGTGATTTTTCTTTTATTCTGTAAATGATCCCCAAATAAGATTTAATATCAAATATTTGTCCCCCCGGGGTTTTCTGGATCGTAGAACCCATTGTAGAGTTCATTCTAACCCTTTGTCCAAAGAAAAGTCTCAAGAGAAGTCCAAAGAAAAGTCCCAAGAGACTTCGAGTTTTGTATCTGATAGCTTTTCACATCGAAAAAGCTCCCTTTTTTCATGTGGAGTGGAGCTCGTTCAATTTTTGAAGAACCTTCAGTGAAAAAAAAGCTGAATGAATTTCTCTGAAATTTTGGCGAAATATCAAACTTTTTTTTCTCTATCTTTTATCTATTGACACGAAGATAGGTTTTCTTTAGCTAAGGTGTCTAAACCGCATCATCGAGTTAGCCCTTTTTGACTACCTGAACTTCATACTCTCAAGAAAATCCAGACATCAAATATTTTTAAACCCGTTTTAATGTTATTTTGCAGAAAAATAATTGGTTTTTCTAATGAAATCAACCGTAGTTTAATTCGTGCATTGGTTGGCTTGAAACGGCAGACGAAAAAAATGAAAAAGACTTTTGCATCAACCTAATATTAGGGTGAACCAAAAGTTTTCTATTTTTTTTTATCAAGACTTCCAACATAGATAAAACAACAATGAACGAACTCTAAGCTTCGAAATAAAGACCATTCGAATCTATGACTTGAAGCCATCTATCGGCAAGTTGGTCGATCCCGCGGCGGTACCACTCCTTGCTCTTAGAGGCGAAAAACTCGCGGCACCCTTTTTCGACTTCGCCCAGATTGTTGAAGGCTCGTCCGCGAAGCAAGTGTGCCATGGAGCGGAAAAGATGATAATCGGATGGTGCAAGATCCGGACTGTACGCTGGATGTGGAAGAAGTTCAATTGAGTCGAGATTTTTGATCTTTTCCTTGGTTTGTCTAGCGGTGTGTGGTTTTGCATTGTCCTGCTGAAGGACTATGCGCTTTCGATTGACCAAAGCGGGATATTTTTCACTAAATGGCGCATACATCCGGTCAAGTTGGGCGCAGTAGAGATTTGCGTCGATGTTTCGACCATTTGGAACTAGCTCAAAGGGAATAATGCCTTCGAAATTCCACCAAACACACAGTAATGCCTTCCTTGAGAATCGATCAAGTTTTGCTACCGGTTCCGCTACTTGCCCGGGGGTTCAACCACTCAATTTGCTTCTCCGGATTACTAAAATAGACCCACTCTTCATCACAAGTCACAATTCGGAGAATAAAGCGGTCATCGTGCGGGTTTTCCAGCAGCTTTCGGCAAGTGTCTACACGATTTTGAGCTTAATTTTCCGTTAAATCATGTCGGCAGCTTTTGTTGATCTTTCCAAGGGCATGAAGGTGCCGGATAACTGATGTTTGAGGAGTATCCAGTTCAGCGGAGAGCCTGATGGATTGGCTTCAACAGCGTTGCGTAGAGCTTCAGAGTCCACAGTAGTTGACCGACCCAAACGTGGCTGATCTTCGAGACCAAGTTCGCCGTTCTTAAATTTTCGTTTCCAATATGTTGGAGATCATTCCTTCACCTTCCACTTGGCATATTTTTTTGGCCGCTTCAGTTGCATTGAACCCTTGTTTCCAATAATGGCGCAAAAGTACCCGAATTTCGAATTTTTCCATCTCTTTCCTACAAAGTAAAAAGTTAAAAATAAATAGTTAAATACACGACAACTTAGTAAAATATGAAAGAGCAGATCAAATGCTACAAAATAAATATGGCACGTATATATAAAACGAATTTATTAGTTTTAAAAAATTCTTCAAACTTAAAGAGAAAAAAAAAATAGAAAACTTTTGGTTCACCCTAATAGTAAGTTTATCTATATCACTTGCGAATCGCTTTGTTAGATAAGTATTTAGCCATGGATTTGACAAATAACCATGACTAAATACAGGTAAACCAGGTTAGGCCCAACCCCAGCCAAAGCCATTTCAAAGTCTGGCTTCTGACAGGCTCAAGCACTTTTGTGGGCCATGTCTGTAAAGCCAGCTTAAAGATCTGACTTCTGGCTTTAACCCTTGACTTTAGCTAGAGTCTTAAATGTTGGACAGTAAAGTCAGACAAGGCCTAAACTTGTCTGGCCTTGCTCGACACTATTTTTTGAAACAACCTGGTTGCACCCAACCGTCCTCCACCCATCAGAACCCAGCTAAATACAAAGCCAAAAGGATACTAATCACCCAACCTACAGTACCTGATCTCAGCGCAATTTTTCAGTATTCAATGCCACAGGCGAGTAGCTCTAGGTAGATATTACCCAGTACCCAGCACAGGTAAAATACAATTTAGTATGTTTATCTATACAGTGGCAAGTGCAGAGTAAAAGCTATACATTTGATAAAATCGTCCAAAGCT